TGTCAATAGCAGTGTGCAGTGTGGAGGACGTCAATAGCAGTGTGGAGGACATGTCAATAGCAGTGTGCAGTGTGGAGGAGAACTGCACATCACCTCGGGGTCTTTCAGGATGGGTGGTTCAGGGACTGCCTTACCATGGGGCTCTAGCCCCATGGAATCTCTGGTGCTTCAGTTAGACATCTGGCATAGCTCCTACCTAAGTAAGTACATATGCACCCACTTCACAGCACTGCCAGGAGTGGTGAGTTAACATGCATAAAACCCTCAACATAGTACTGGATTGGACGGGGAAAGGAGGTCAATGAATGTTAGCCAGTATGCTTGCTGGTAAGCACACTCTTGCTCCTGCGATTAAGCTTCTTATTATTCTTTTCCTATCTATGTTTTGTTGTAATTTTTTTCTTTTCCAGAGATCTGAGAGCACCTCCAGAACAAGGGAAGATCTTTATTGCAAGGCGGTCTCTGTTAGAGTGAGTGATTTTTGCTTTTGTTAATTATCAGTTTGATTTAGGAAGGAAAACTGTCTTGATTTATAGAATCTCTGGTCTGTCTGTCTGTCTAGTTTGTTTCAAGACTGCATAAGTCATGAACTTTGATGTTTTAATGTTCCTTCTTGCCTATCTTTTAGTTCTCTTTCTGGCTTCTTTGGAAAAGTTAGATATAAAGGCAGCTGTCTATCCTCTGACAGATTCTTTGAAGTTGTGCTACAGAGAATTGTGTTTCAAGAGAGTTAGCAGAAGAGAATTTGGAGAGAATTTTGAATTTACTGCTGTCTTAGGGTTTCTTTTGCTGTGAAGAGACACCATGACCACAGCAACTCTTACAAGGAAAACACTTAGTTGGGGTGGCTTACAGTTTCAGAGGTGTAGTCCATTATCAGCATGGTGCAGCATGGCAGTAGGCAGGCAGACGTGGTGCTGGAGAAGTAGCCTTGTTCTGCATCTTGACGTGCAAGCAATAGGAAGTGAACTGAGACACTCATTGTGGCTTGAGCATATATGAGACCTCAAAACCCTCTTCCTCAGAGACACTGCCTCCAACAAGGCCATGCCCACTCAAATAAAACCACACCTCCTAATAGTGTCACTCCCATTGAGGGCCATTTTCTTTCAAACCACCACAACTGCCTTCTTAATATGTGTGTGTTTTCCTTTGATTCTTGATAGTTTTCTTTTTAAAAATCCATGATTATCTAGACTCTTTAGAATTGCATGCAATGAATGCATTGTACTGACTAATTTATGAACCAAAGCAAAAGGTGCACTTTGGATGGGAGATGGCTGTTTCTTCTTTCCTGTTATTAGTCACTGATAAGTCCCCTACTTATTAGGTATTCTTTGGGATATTGATGAAGTTTACCAGCATTAGGAGAGAACATTTGGTTGGTGAAAATTACGTCAGGTGCTGTGATGTGCCTTCCTTTAAAAATGAACCTTGTTTATCAAAACTTATTTTATAAGCCAAATCGGTGTGTGGTTCCTAACCTTGCTGTGAAGGACAGAGTTTTCTATATTCTGCTCATGCTGTACTTTAAAGCAATTGGGCTGTGTTCTTTTTAAAATTTATAATCTGAGAAAAAAAATGCAGACTTTCTACAAAGAAGGAAGAGTCATTATTTAAACATTTTAGCATAAGAATTGTATTATTTAAAATTAACAAAATGAAGGGGGCTATAGCTCAGTGATAGAGTGCTTACCTAGACATGCATTAAGCCCAGAGTTTAGGCCTCATTAATGGGAAGCGAGGAAAGGGAAAAACAAGGGAGGAAAGAAATGTTATCAATTAAAATATACTTGAACTTAAAAAAATAGGAATGTGACCAAAGAAATGGCTTAGCTAGGCTTTATTAGAGTTTGAAGATCTATTATACAGAGGCTTAAGAATATCTTAGATATTCTTAAGATATAGAAACTGCACATACTTCCCACACATAGCCAGTTGGCTAGAGAAGATGCTGACTGAGGAGGAGTCACCCAGAAGGTTATTCTGTTAAAAGGCAAATAGCCAGTCTGAAGGACTGCAGGCCAGCAGAAAGTAGATGCCGCTGATTAAGGTTTAAGTTGGTGGGCCGTAGGTAGCTGGCTGCCATCGTCACAAAGGAACACAGACTTAAGTGCGTTTGTGAAGTCGGGCTCTCCGCTCCCGAGGTTTGGAATAGAGCCTGTGTCCCTCCTCTCTGGCGGCCCGCATTTGCCCACACAGAAAACAGCTTCCAGTGGGTTTCCTAGACGGAGACTGCTGCTCTGGGGTAGCCATGCTGTGTTCCGTGAATCAGTATTCTATTTTGGAAAGAAAGTTTAAGAACCCGTTATTTTTACCTTAATTGTATCATTTAATTTCTGTATATTTCAAGTTTATACTGTGCTCTTTTGAGGTTTTTAAAGTGATTTCTCAAAGAGTAGATTGAACATCTTGTAAACTGCTTTAAAAAGTATCATTGTTGTGCGGTACTTTAAAATTAAATATAGATTATTAACTCATGATTTGCGTGACCTACATTTGCAGTGAACTGTTTGAAGTGGACCACATCAGAACAATTTACCACATGTTCATTGCGCTCCTCATCCTCTTCATCCTCAGCACGCTCGTGGTAGATTACATTGATGAAGGAAGGTAAGACAGGCAGGCTGCGTCCAGCTAGCGGATGTGTAAACTGTTGACTATTCTCATTTGCTTAAAATAATTCCAAGACAGCTGTGTTAGTGATGAGTTTCTTCTCCTAAAACTAAAAGAAAAAGTTTTGTCACTCACCAATGTCATCATCATTTTTTTTTCCGCTGAGAAAGTAGTCCAGCTAGACTCAGGTGTACTCTATGGTTGAAGGTGACCTTGAACTGTTGATCTTCCTTTCCCCCAACTGATGGAGGAGGGTTATCTATCTATTGTGTTATTTTTATTAGTCAATAAAGAGACTGCCTTGGCCCCTTGATAGGACAAAAAATTAGGTAGGCGGAGAAAACAGAACAGAATGCTGGGAAGAGGGCTATGAGGCAGACGCCATGGAGCCAGCCACCAGGTCAGACATGCTAAATCTTTTCCGGTAAGCCACCACCTCGTGGTGCTACACAGATTATTAAAAATGGGTTAATATCAAGATATGAGAGTTAGTCAGTAACTAACTCTCTAGAGATAATGGGCCAGGCAGTGTTTAAATGAATACAATTTGTGTGTTATTTCCAGGGCTAAGCTAGCCATGCGGGAGCTGGGCGGGATGAAAAGCAGGCCTGCCCGCAGCTCTTCACTATACCCAACCTCCCAAGTGCTTGGAAGACAGGCCTATACTGCCACAGTTGTTGGAATTCTCAACAACTGAACTATACCCACGACTCTTTTAAAATGCTCTCTTGCTCTCTCGTTCTCGCTCTCTCTCATACATGGTTACTTAAGGCCATTTTTGTGCAAGTATATAGTGTTCCTTGATCTTATTTTTCCCATATGGTGCTGCCCATCTCTCTCTACTCCCCTCTCTAGTCCCCTTTGTTTCCCAGTTTGCTTCTACTTTCCTGTCATCTGCACATACATGCTCTTTAGTGTCTAAAGTCTAGAACCCACAAATGATAGAAAACATGTGATATAAATAACTTTTTCTGAGGTTGACATAATTCTTTTAATAAGATTATGTCCAGGTGCACTCATTTTCCTACAAATGATACAACTACATACCACGTTTCCTTACGTGTCCTACATTGATGGACACTTAGTTTGGTTCACTAGCTGTTGTGAGCAATGCTATAATAAATACAGTAACATGTTGATACCCATGACCTTGGTATGTTAATGTTGCAGTATTTCTAAAAGTTGAACGCTATGAGTATATATATATGTGTGTGAGAGAGAACATTTTAAGTTCTGTACATTCATTGCGTATCAATCATTCACCCCTTTTTACTTTTTTCCCTCCACAGGCTGGTACTTGAGTTCAATCTCCTGGCCTATGCTTTTGGCAAACTGCCTACTGTTATTTGGACATGGTGGTCCATGTTCCTGTCTACACTCTCAATCCCCTATTTCCTGTTCCAACATTGGGCCCATGGCTACAGCAAGAGTTCTCATCCACTGATCTATTCCCTTGTCCACGGCTTTTTCTTCTTAGTCTTTCAGCTTGGAATCCTAGGTTTTATCCCAACATATGTTGTGCTAGCGTATACACTGCCTCCAGCCTCCCGGTTCATTGTTATACTTGAGCAGGTAAGGTTTGAGTGTCACTCGGAATGATGCTATGTCTATTTAACGAAGAACAATAATGATCCAATACTGATGCTGTTATTAACATGTTAGCGCTGGATGTGTGTTTATATGTATCTCAATACCATTATCTGTGGAACTGAAGGATTTTGAGTCAGCGGCTCATGTATATCCAGTTAAGTTCTAATTTTTCTGCCACCTGCTCCCAAATCATGGGATTGCAGGTACGCCACCATGCTGTCTTAGGATTGAAGTGTTTACCTGGGTAATAGCATTTTAAAGAATTCATTCTACTTCAGTCATCTGGAGCTGAAATAAGTTATATTGAATTATTTTTGAAACAAAGTTTTGAAATACATTTTGTAAAAGTCTTTTGGATGTTTGTAGTTGAAAATCCCCACTTTTGAAGTGCTGAGCTCACCATGTCCTCATGTAGCTACTCTTGTTGAAATGAGAGATACATTTTAATTTGTTTATCCTACACTCCAGGGGCTTTCTGGTGTGTGTTGAGAATGGAAGGGAACATTCTTTGAGCCTTTCCTTTGCAGTGCTGGGGGAGTGTCAGGCAGGACCTCCACCACCAAGCTACACTCAGCCTTTGAACAGAGTTTTTCTTTGTGGTTTTTTCATGACAGGGTTTCTTTGTGAAACAGTCCTGGCTGTCCTGGAACTCATTCTGTAGACCAGGCTGCTTCTGCCTCTTCGAGTGCCATGTTTAACGCCACCACTGCCCAGCCCTTGAACAGATTTTTAACTTCTCAATGTTATTTTTTTTTAATAAACGAATAAGACTTCTGTTAGGTACAAAAATAATTGAAGTGATTACATATCTTTCTCTGCAAGGTTTTTTTCCTGCCTTTATAAAGGCTAATGAGTTGGTATGTGCACATTTAAGTTTTGTGTGAATGTTACCCAGTGCAGTTCTGGAGTTACTTATAGGAGACAAGACAGTGCTGGGAAATTGACTTCCCCTCTCCTTTGGCAGATCCGTTTGGTAATGAAGGCCCACTCATTTGTCCGAGAGAATGTGCCGAGAGTACTCAATGCAGCCAAGGAGAAATCAAGTATGTAACCCTTCAACCAAAAAGACTAGTGATGGGATACTTCATCTTTTTGCATGCTGAAATGACATTGTATTTTTGTAGAGAGTATATTTTATTCTGTGCATGGGGTCCATATTGATTTGGAAGACTCATTAGTTCCTGCCTGTTCTGTTTTGTCCTTTTATCTACAATGCAAAAAGTGTATCTTTAGACTCCTGTAAATGGAGTGTTCATAGCCTCACTCACCTGTGTCTGCTTACTTTGCAAATTGTAGTTTTCCCTCTGTTTTTATCATAGTCACAGTAATGACTTAGAGATTGGCAGTGCTGGGTTATAGCAAGAATGGCAGGTCATTTTAATAGACCAGGAAGAAAAACAGGATCCAGGAGGTCATGCTGTTCTTCCCAGTTCTTCTCTTCCTCCTTGTTTCTTCCTCCTGCTCTTGCTCCTGTTTCTCTTAACCCCCTCCTTCCCCAGACAGGGTTTCTCTGGGCGGTTCTGACTGTCCTTAATTTACAGATGTTCAGCTGTTCGTCTGCCTCTGACTCCCAAATGTGAGTGCTGGGATTAAAGGCGTGCACCACCACTGCCTGGCCAGCCCTGTTCTTGCTTCTTTTTTCTGTTCTTCTAGTTTGCTGGGAGAAGTCAAAGATCTTGTAATCCAGTAGTTTTCCTTTTTTAGGCACAGTTCCAGTACCCACAGTCAACCAGTACCTGTACTTCCTGTTTGCTCCTACACTCATTTACCGTGACAGCTATCCGAGGTAACTTTGGAGGAGGGCAGTTCATACAGGGCTACAGAGAAAACCAAATGCCTCCAGTAGTCATTCTAGAGGGCTGGTTCTAATGACTAATTCTTAATAGAATTACGTAATTTTGTTATGGTTTTGGTGTTAAGTTTTTGGTGGTGGTGGGGGTTGGAGATCAAATTCAAGGCTTTGTGGTATGCTAAGCTCACACTGTCCTGCTAAGCTATTCCTCTGCCCATAAATGATTCTGTGTAGAAAAACATCGTTAGGTTATTTACATTGTAGATAAAGGACAGAATAGAAATAGTCCATTGCTTATTGCAGAGAACCCGTTTTTCTTCTTTTCAGGACTCCTACTGTAAGATGGGGTTACGTTGCTATGCAGTTTTTACAGGTAACTTTTTAAGGACTGCTTAACATGATGATTTTTATTTATTTATTAACAAATGGGCTTATTTTTTTAAAAAAGTATATGCTTTATTTTATGGTCATTGTTGTTTTGTCTACATATATATCTGTGTGAGGGTGTCAGAAATCCTCACACTGACAAGTGTGAGCTACCATGTGGGTGCTGGGGATTGAACCTGGGTCCTGGAAGAGCAGCCAGTGCTCTTAACTTCTGAGCTATCTATTCAGCCCCATAAATCTTTTTGCGATGGGCTTTCTCTATTATGTAGCTCTGACTGTCTGGAACACTGTGTATAGACCAGGCTGACCTCAAAATCACAGAGGTCCTGCTGCTTTTACCTCCCCAGTGCTGGATGAAAGGCATGACCATTATGGCTGACCCTTTCTTTTAAGAAAAAAAATTATTTAAAATGTTGAGCCAGGGGTGGTGGCTCATGCATTTGACTTTAAGACTTGGAGGAGGAGTTTTGAATTTTATAATCAACCAGAACTTGACTGTCGTGAATACCTGTCTCCAAAAACTAAAGTTGGTAAAGTATGTCATAAGCACTTCAAGAATGCTCTCTGTCAAAGCTAAACCTTTTAAGCCACCCCAATGAAGGCAATGTGTGTGCTTTTAATGGTAAAGGAGAGTATGTAAACTAAGTTAGTTTTGTTTGGTTATTTCAGTAAGAACCTAGATAGATTTCCTTTTCCCTTTTCTGGGTGGGGTTGTGTGTTGGGGGGGGTTTGCTTTGAATTCCCCATTTCTTTCTTCCTCACTCATTTTGAGAACCGTAAATCCCAGAAACTCCCATTTTAAATTCTATCCAAATACTCAGCTGTAAAATGAATTATTTTACTCCAGGCTTCATAAACAAGTTCTTCATAGTCTTCTAAAAATGCAATTTGGACCAGGTGTGGTAACATGTGTCTATAAACTCAGTACTCAGAATGCTGAGGCAGAAAGATTGTTGAGTTTGAATCCAACTTAAGCTACACAGCAAGATGTGATCTAAAAAGACGTAATTTAGTAAACTATTAGGAAAAGTCATGGTGGAAATGAGGCTTGAGTGTCTCTCTGAAGGAGTGGGGTCCTCCTCTATTCTGGGGTTAAATGAAATATATGTAAGCATTAACTGTATGTGTGTTTCCTTTGGAGGAAGACATGTCCTCCCTCTTTTTATGAAGCCATCATTGTTTTCTTTTTGTGCTCCAGGTTTTTGGCTGCCTGTTTTATGTATACTACATCTTTGAGAGACTCTGCGCCCCATTGTTCCGGAATATTAAGCAGGAACCCTTCAGTGCTCGTGTTCTGGTCCTGTGTGTATTTAACTCCATCTTGCCAGGTAACCTGGGCACTCATTAATTTGAACATCCGTGTATATAGCCAGGAAGAAAGCAGGAAGCTGCCCTCCGTAGGTACCTTCAGTTCCCTGCTTTTTCCTGTGAATTTAGCTCTGCATAAACCCACCCACCACTTCTTCATCTGCTCCAGAAGTGAAAAGCCCTCCTGGTTTCACTTCTCACTTCAGTCTGCTTCCTCCATCAGTGTTATGTCCACATTTATGTGTTTCTTCCTTTTCCTCTTCGGTTCTCTATAATCTCTCCTCTCACTAGGCCACCACATACCTATACTTAAAGTCGCCCGTAACCTCTTGATGCTAAACCGGATAGGTAATTAGCTGTTTTCCAGAGTGACCTCTAGGAGACACAGGGTACACTGGCCACATTTCGAGGTCTCAATTTGTCACTTTCTTATCTTTCTTCTTTTCATCATGCCTTGTCTCTTAGTTTTATTCGCCCCATGTACTTTTTTTCTGGTAACACACAGGTTCCTACTGTGCCAGTGCTGAGGACTCAGCTAGACAGACACAAACTCTGTCCTTCAGGGAGCTTGCACTTCAGAGCTTCTTTGATTTAACTTAGCCTTGTCTCTGCTTACTACTGATGTCACCATCTCCCTTTCCTGTCTTTTAGATGTTACTAGACATGGATGGGGGCACATGCACTTGCACACTTACCTCACTTGACTGCAAACTCCTTGAGATTAAGGATCATATTTTAAGATTATTTATTTTTAGTTTTTGCATATTAGTGTTTGCCTTAATGTATGTGCACCATGTGCTTGCAGTGGCTTTAGAGGCCAGAAGAGGGTGTCGAATCCCTGAGACTGGAGTCACAGATTGTAGTGAGCTACCATGTGGGTGTCGGGACCTCTGGAAGAGCAGTCTCTGCTCTTAACCACTGAGATCTTTCCAGCCCCATGGATCATATTTTAAAGCCACTTTTAGTTTATCCTGTACTGTCTAGCAAACACTATGAATCTTTTTTGAATGAAATAGGTGGGCATGCAATGAGTATTTCCCAGTACAGTGTAAAAGTCCCATGTACATAGAACAGCCTGGGGGCTTTGTTTCTCATGTTAGAGATGACATTCAGCATTGGGCATTGGAAAATATGCCGGAGAATAAAAAAAAATACTGTCTGGAGAAAAGTGATGAGGAGGTTTTTTTGACAGAAGGACAGATAGAAAGGCCTGGGATATCTTGGAATGTCAGAGATCCTGTTGTAGATGGTGTTTGCAGCTCCCAGGGAGAGAGTTAAAGGGTCTTGGGCACCAAGGTCAGATATATGTCCTGCCATTTCTTTTAAACAGGCTGGAATCACCTATTTTCTGTCAAAATAACATAGAAATACATTATCATTTTTTAAAAGTAAAACAACAACAAAACTCCTAGCTTCCCAAGGTGCACTACTGTATCACCTGAGTGGGTGGCCTGTAATATCAGCAGGCTTTGTGGCGGCATCCCAGGTGAAAATACACTGCTGTGTTGTTCATGATGGCTGGCTGTAAGCTGTTTGGAAGACTCTTCAGATTGTCGCTCTTGTTTTCAGGGGTGCTGATGCTGTTCCTTACGTTTTTTGCCTTTTTGCACTGCTGGCTCAATGCCTTTGCTGAGATGTTACGCTTTGGTGACAGGATGTTTTATAAGGTATTATATACTTGCTCTCATCTTTTCGTGTTATGTTGTCTCTCTGATTATGTATTTGAAACAGGATTCCTTTGTGTAGCTGTGACTGTCCTGGAAGTCACTGTGTAGACCGTCCTGACCTTGAACTCGTAGAGATCTGTCTGCCTCTGCCTCCCGAGTATTGCGATTAATAGCATGCACCACCATACTTGGCATTTCTAATCAATTAAAAAAAGAAATTACTGGGATTGGGGGGTCAGGACACACATGTACCGCGAATGCATGTGTGTTTAAGAGTCATGCTGTCAGGCTTGGCAACAAGCACTTTGACCTCCTGAGCTAGCCTGCCAGCTGTCACGTGCCATTTATTTCCATATTCCTAAGTCTTGAGCTTTGTTGACAGTATTACCAGCTTTTTGACACAAATTCCATGTGATAGTTTTTTCCTCCTAGTTTCCCCAATGTTAAGTCTGAAATTCTGATACATGTATAGTTAGAGTAACCTACTGACACCTGTTCCCTCTGGATCGCAAGTTATTGCTATTACATACTCATCAACTCAGCACTCAGGAGGCTGAAGCAAGAGGATTACCACGAATCCCAGGCCAGCCTGGGCTGTAGTAGAGTAAAGGCTTGTCTTGGTCTTTCCTCTTCCCACCCCCACAAAGAACATATGGCTCCTGTGAGGTGCTGGTGACTGCGGTAGGAACTGTTTACCAGAGGGCATTATGCCAACTCCTCACTGCCTTTCAAATGGCTGCTGGATTTTATGAAGTGGCCCCAGCAGGTTAGCCCATTTAAGACTGCTGAGCGGTTACCAAGGGAAATGGCTTCCTTCATTTCCAAAGGTGTTATTTCTGCTTCAAATGGTATTCTTAGACTTCTAAAGCTGGCCTTGTCATGTTTATTGTTCTGACTTCATCTCCACCACTCCTTTCTCAAAGACAGTGAATGTGGATGGCAGATTCTGGGTGTCTGATTCTATTAATATCTTACCTTCAAATTGGGAGCAAGAAATACAAAGGGACATTGGAAACCACCACCTCACTCCCTTCATAATTAAATGTTACCCAGTCCCAGTCAGCCTGTTCACATGTGTGCTCAGTTCTTTTAGTTTAACAAGGTAGAGAGGAAGTTTACTGATAGCTGTGGAGGCAAACATTATATGTAAATGGTTGTGTGTTCTGTGTCTTCCATCATAACATACTTGATAATGAGACAAAATGTCCTCAGAGCCTTAAGCTATGTCTAGCTCTAACATACATTAGTATTGACTACTAACTGCTCAAATGCCTTTTGAGATTCTAGCATCAGTGTGTGGGCTCACAATTTTATCATAATGACGACCTTCAGGCATTTTGTCAGGCAGTACTCCTTGGAAATGGCCAGGGCTTTAGCTGTGTGTGTGACTTTATACCTTTGCTTTTCTCTCAGGACTGGTGGAACTCTACGTCATACTCCAACTACTACAGGACCTGGAATGTGGTGGTCCACGACTGGCTCTACTACTATGCATACAAGGACCTCCTCTGGGTAAAAAGCAAGACCTAGTTGATGTTATGTAAGAAATGGGGATTCTGAGGGGCCTGGGGAGATGGCTCAGTGGTTGCTGTGAGTGCTTGCTGCTCTTGCAGGGAACAGAACCCACACTGGGCAACTTACAACCACATGTAACTGCAGTTCCAGGGATTGGATAACTTCCTCTGGCCTCTGCATGTATCTGCATGCATGTGGCCTATGCATATACACATAAAAATATAACACGTTAGTCTTTATGAAAAAGTCCAGCATGGTGGCGCACAGCTCCCAGCACTTGGGAGGCAGAGACAGGTGGATCTCTGAGTTCAAGGCCAGGCTGGTCTGTTGACTGAGTTTTCTGTCCTACCTGGTCCTGTAGCCTTTCAGTCTCAAAGAAACACACAGAGGCCTACATTAATTATAAACTGATTGGCCTATTAGCTCAGGCTTCTTATTAACTTACATTAGCCCATAATTCTTGTCTGTGTTAGCCACATGGCTTGGTACCTTTTATCAGGGAGGTGTTCTCATCTTGCTTCTTCTGTGTCTGACTTCCTCTGTGACGACAGCAGACTGAAACTTTCCTCTTCCCAGCATTCTCCTATTCTGGTCACCCTGCCTATACTTCCTGCCTGGCTACTGGCCAATCAGTGCTTTATTAAAACAATACAAGACCATTGCCCCACAGCACTGGTCTACTTCCTAAGAGCTAGGAAGACCCTCTCTCAAAACAAACAGAAGTGGAAAAGCTAGCCAAGCAAGCATGAAAGAATTTTTTTTTAAATAGTGTTGCACAACTGGAAAATGATGTGTTTAATCACCACTGAAGAAGGTGTTATAATTTTTTGTCCATTTTCTTAAAGTTTCCACAAAGAAGAACCCGTGTTCTGTGAGTGTTACTGAGCATGGAAACTGTTATGTACACCACTAGAACAATATCATGCTTTTCTCTGAACTTCACTACCTGGCTACAAAGTTACAATTCTTGGAAATCTGTGTAGGAAGCTGGGAGGTAGTGGCTCATGCTTTTAATCCCAGCACTTGGGAAGCAGAGGCAGGCGAATCTCTTTGAGTTCAAGGACAACCTGGTCTACAAGAGCTAGTTCCAGGACAGGTTCTAAAGCCACAGAGAAACCCTGTCTCGAAAAACCAAAAAGAAAAAAAAAAAAAAAAAAAGAAATCTGTGTAGGAACTGAAGTGATCCACCTACCAAGGACTTTAGGAATCTCATTGTCCACAAATAATCTTCTAGCCTCCCCCACCTCCAATGGCATTCTCTTACTCTGCACCTGCACCCCCTTTCTCCCTTTGTAGACCAGCAGATATCCCCTCTCCTCTGCCCTCCACACCCATTTTCATTTGGATTTGTTTGTTAAAAGTAGAGAGCTACTGTGAATTTTCATCCCTTCAACCAGAGACTCTATTATGTAAGCCATGTTTTGGAGAATAATGTACTCAGAGTAACTAAATATAGCTTGTACTTCTGGTTAACACTGGTGACTCTGAAGCAATTTTCATTGTTAAGCAAGAGTGTCATCTGCCTCTGACTGACGGCATCCTAAGGAAACGGGCATATGTCAGACTGAGTTCTCAACTTGCTCACACTGAAGTCCGATGTTGGGCTGAGGCAAGTCTTTTTTTTTAAATCTTAGTTTGGAAGGAATGCTTGCTACAGTGTCCTTCTGACGGATGAAATTTGAACCTGGTATGGTCACGTAAGCACTTGTAAGGTGGAGATAAAATGATCAAGAGTTCAAGACTAGCCTGCAGACACAACAGTGTTTCTAGAGCTTTTCAGAATAGCATCACAACCTGGAAAACAAGCCCTCAACTCAGGAGCCTTCAGGCAACACTTCATATCCAAACTAGAACATTGAGCATGCCTTTGTAATTATTTTTAATAGATTTGGAATAACCTAAGGTATAGTCTTAAAAAGTCAAATATAAGTAGGTGCCTTTAGTGTGTGGTAATATCTCTTATCGTTCATGCTTTCTATTTTTTTTTTTAAGTTGCTAACTCTTGGATATTTTCTTTGTACCTTAGTTTTTCTCGAAGAGGTTCAAGTCTGCCGCCATGTTGGCTGTCTTTGCCTTGTCCGCGGTCGTGCATGAATATGCCCTCGCTGTCTGCTTGAGCTATTTCTACCCAGTGCTCTTTGTCCTCTTCATGTTCTTTGGAAGTGAGTACTGTGGCCTGCTGTGGGTCCTGGCTGCTGGACTAAAGGAGACAGCGAAACGGGAAGGAAACTGTGCCGTCACTTTAGAGAAGCTAGGTGCTAATACCATTTCAAGGTGGCGTGTTAGCCGGGGTCAGAATACTGATGGAGTAATTCAATGCAGTTGTGTCTGCAGGGTGTTTACACACTGGAGGGAGGATGTGAACTAGGTGACCTCTTGGGGACCAATCACAAACACTGTCACTGTGCAATTTCTGAAAACAGTTTCATGTTTGAGTGTCTGGAGAAGAATCCGTAAGAGTAACTGCATGTTTGAGTGTGTGGAGAGGAGCCCGTAAGCATAACTGTGTGAGGCCAGGCTGTGGTAGTGCACGCCTTTAATCCCAGCACTTGGGAGGCAGAGACAAGCAGATCTTTGTGAGTTTGAGGCCAACTTGGTCTACAGAACGAGATCCAGGACAGGCTCTAAAGCTACAGAGAAACTCTGTCTCGAAACAAAACAAAAGAAAACAAAACTCCATGAAATGTATTTTTCACTTATTCTTAATACTGTTGGTTTCCTACTAATTAGGACTGATAAATTCCAGTAGTTACGCATCATTTACTTGTAGAGTAAGTGAGCAGGATAAAGATGCCTGTGAACGACTGGTACTCACTGCTGGCATTCAGCCGCAGGTCTGTAGCTGAGCCCTAATCGCTGGTGGACTATGTTTTGATAACTGTATTTTTGTTCTCTTTGTAACTTCAGTGGCTTTTAACTTCATTGTCAACGACAGCCGGAAAAGGCCAATCTGGAACATTATGGTATGGGCTTCTCTTTTCCTGGGCCATGGAGTCATTCTGTGCTTTTATTCTCAAGAATGGTATGCCCGCCAGCACTGTCCTCTGAAGAATGTGAGTTGCTTGTCCAGCTTGGGTGTCCCCCTGATGTAAGGGGGCTGGGTCTGAGGAGTGGTATTAGTTACTCCTGATGTAAGGGGGTGGTATTAGTCACCCCTGATGTAAGGGAGGTGGTATTAGTTACTCCTGATGTAAGGGGGGTGGTATTAGTTACCCCTGATGTAAGGGGGGGTGGTGTTAGTTACCCCTGATGTAAGAGGGGTTGTATTAGTTACCCCTGATGTAAGGGGGGTGGTATTTGTTACCCCTGATGTAAGGGGGGTGGTATTAGTCACCCCTGATGTAAGGGGGTGTGATATTAGTCACCCCTGATGTAAGGGGGTGGTGTTAGTTATCCCTGATATAAGGGGGTGGTGTTAGTCACCACTGATGTAGGGGCACATATTACAAAGGGTTGTGCAGCAGTGGAGAGCGTGAGGCTGAGTCGAAAGGAGGGAGACAGAGCTTGAGCATCCATTACCTCTCCCAGTCTGACTGCTGCCCTGAACAGCTCATTCCTTTGTCTTTCCTCATTTAGCTCCCCTGGTTCTTCTTTTCTTCTTTCTTTACCTCTCTCTGATTTTCCCAAGGACACACGCAACCTTCATCTGAAACAGGAATATTTTTTAACCTCTGTTCCTCCAAAAGTTAAAAGCTTTCCAAAGAATGTCAGACTACACTGATGGGGGGAGGGGTGCATTTTCTTTGATTTTACCAATCTCTTCATTCTTCCCCCTTGTGGTTACATTCGGGTTTTGTTTTTTAGCCTATAGGTGGCTAACTCCATTTGCGTGTAACTGAGATTCCCACTTGATAGATCTTTCCTGGGTATTTCTCCCAGGAACCAGAACTAAGTGCAGATACCCACACCGAGTCTTTCACGCCCCTCTGCATGTGCTGTCTTCTGTCACACAGCCCTGTTCTTCCTCCTCACTTCCTGTCGAGGCATCTGCACATCTGATGCTGTGGCCTCTTTCCCTGTTATGCTGTTCTTTATACTTTACATCCAGGTCCCACGGTTCAGATTTTATTCCCTACTGAGATTCTGTTTGGATGCTGCACTTGCCATGGAAACTGAATTCTTGTTCCATCTTCCCCGTTTTGGAACTTGTAAAGTACTTCATGTTGAAGTGGATCACTGACCCTGTGTTATAGTTATATGCTCATGCGTTATTATCCTAATCCTACCTCTATTTATAGATTTTAAACTGAAACTGAATTTTGCTAAAATAAGGTGTCAGGATGTTAAGAGGTACCTACTTACCATTTGATCCATGGTCCATGGAGTGAAGTGGACTCTTTACAAAGATTCTCAGTTGAATTAATTGGCGTCGTTGATAGAAAACATCTCAACATCTTTTGAAACAGGGAGTTTCTCAACCATTAAAGGGCAGTGAAGTGCGTGGGGGGGGCAGTTTAAAGAGGTCCAGGGTATAGCATTCAGCTGTCACCTGCGCCATACCTAGCTCACATGAGCTGTGCTCATACATGAACCATTCTTCTGTTGTTTCTCCCGTCTTAGCCCACATTTCTGGATTATGTCCGGCCGCGTTCCTGGACTTGTCGGTACGTGTTTTAGAAGCCTGGACTCTGCTCCTTTCTTGCCAACGAGGAATGGATGTTCTTCCTGATTCCGAGCCAGTCGTCTTCAGCAGTCACTGAGTATTTCTATGCCACGTTGTTTGGACCGCTCCAGCCTTTCCCGATGACCACCTAAAGCTGGCCTTGAGTCACTTCATGGTTTTTTTGGTTTGTTTCCTTTTAGGGAGAAGGAAGACCAATGGCTGAGTTCATGACAAGTTTTTGCGGGGTTATCTCAGCTCAAGTTTTGGTGGTTTTATCTGTTTATTTCCTTGATTCTGTTCAACCAGAGACTAAACACATCTTGGCCATGAATTAGCCAAAAACACTTAGGAAGAAATCATTTCAGTGCCTCTGGCTTTGAAGTTTTTTATCATGCACACTGTTAGGAGGTCAGCTAGTTAACTGTGCAGTTGGGAGAAACAAATGTTATTTCTGGTAGACAGAAAGAAAATATCTGTTTCCCAAAGATAGTCTTGATATGCTTTCTGCTCACATCTTTTGTTGCTATTCGGCTTTGCTTTGTCTCCGAGCTGGGAGTAGAACCAGGGCCTTGCCCAGGGCAGCACACTGAGCCACACCCCAGCCCCCATGTTGTATTTTTCTGAAAGTTCTGGTCTACTCTTTTTTTTTTTTTTTTCCTGTATAAGCTGTGATTTTGTTTTTGAAAAAATTAGCAGTCTTTCACCTTAGACTCAATGCTAATACAAATTTAAGGGTCCAAAGTATGAAGGGAAAAATATATTTCCTTTCAAAACTTGAGAAGTCATTTTAAAACAGATTCACTGAGCTGGCTATGTGTTTTATTTATGCTTTCAGAAGTTCTGTAGAAGATTTTATTGATGTTGGTTTTTTTTTTTTGTTTTGTTTTGTTTTTTTTCTTTTTAGAGGCAAGGTCTTGCAATATAACCCAGGTTAGTCTTGAACTTGTTATGTAGCCCAGGCTGGTCTTGAACTTGCTCTGTAGCCTAGCTGACCTTGAACCCCTGACCTCCTGCTCCTGTCTCCCAAGTGCTAGGATTGAAGAAGATACCACCACGCCTGGTTAAGATTTTTTCTTTAACTTTTAAGTTGTTTAGAAGTATTCTTTTGGTACAGTTGCTTATTGTCTAATAATTAGGAACTTTCCTTGTTATATAGACTAGTGAGTCCATAATGGAAGTATTAACTTCTCTATTAATACTAAATGTCTACTAAGGATCCAGAAGCTGGCTTCTGAAGCATCTGTCCCATCATTATACTTTAACAGTATATTTTTAGATGAAATAAATTACTGTATGATCATTTGTAAGGACATGTACTCGTCATGTGACATTTCCAAGTTCTGCAGTGCCCGTTCCTGGTGTGGCGGAAGGACCTGCTGTGCTTGTGTGCATGGGTATTGTGTGTGAAGACTGCACCTTGGAAGGGGTGTCACAGAACTGCAGTTCAACCTCCTGCCCCAAGAAATGAGCCTTACAAGGTGCTGGCACATGGTTGTTCCGTGGCACAGCCATTTGAGTCTTTGCTGGTATCCTGGCAACTCGCTATACAGTTTTGTGAAGTGTTTTCAGAGTGGTTTTAAAAATCATTTTGCGTCTCACAAGAAGATATTGAAGAGTTCCTTATTGATCACTCTTGATTTGGGCCATATGTATGTCTCCTGCTTCTGCACCTGCCGTATTCACCGTATCTCTAGATACACCGAGGCTGGCTCTGAATTCAGCTCCACCTTCAGCAGACTCAGTTCCTTTCTGTTCCCAAACGAGTGGTCAGTACTGTCCCAGAGTCATTAGCTCCTGAACAACACGCTGTGAGTGGAGCCTACTAAGTTCTGGCCTGTGTCTTAAAGAGTGAAGTGAGCCAGTCACTTTCTCAATTTTTTTAAATTTTGTTTTGTTTTGTGTTTTGAGACAGGGTTTTTCTGTGTAACAACTCTTGCTGTCCTGGAACTCACTCTGTAGACCAGGCTGGATTTGAACTCGCAGAGATCCACCGGCTTCTGTCTCCCAAGTACTGGAATTAAAGACGTGCACCACTACCTACTGGCTAAACTAAGTCTCTTCTATGTGTAATTGCATTTTGAATGTAATGAGAGAACAGAGTGGTCTGAAACTTGCTCATAAGCCAGTCTTTGGCAGCAAGGGGATGGGATTTCAGGGTGCCCCATTATGGGAAGTGCTGTGTGTGCTGTGTGTGCATTTTCAGAAAAGGGTGTTAGTCTGTAGCAGTTTTGAATTTTGAAATTGTTGGACCAGTCAAGGCTGCTCTTCCCCCTCACCCACTCTTTTTGAGACAAGTTCTTTTTCTGCAGCCCAAGCTGTGACGGACCTCACATGCCCCTGCCTCAGCCTCCTCAGGTGCTGGAGTTTACAAGCGTGCGCTGCCACACCCAACAAGGCCTTTCCTTAGGGATGCATTTCCTCCCAAGATTTTAGGTGATCGGCATGTGTGTAGGACTGCAAACCACTTAGAATTGTAAACTTCAAAAGTCCAGACCCCTTGAGGAGGTGGATACTCTGTGAAGGAAGACTGGCTTGGCAGCCATGTGACCACATTGCTGGTTGCCTTAGCAGGACCTTCGTCTTCAAATTACTGTCTGAACCCTTTAAAAAGAAAATAAAACCCAGACTTCTTGCTAATGGTGTGCTCCAAGCAGGTTCCTTTATTGTTGTGTGTCGTGCCAATGGGTGCAAACTGTTTTCAGTTAAGAACGAGACTGACTACAAAGTAAGGGATGTAGTATTTATTTCCTTGAAGCTTGAATGATAACTGACTTTAAGTGACCGTACAAGAGAGCCACTTTCTGAGCAGTTTGCACTTTGCATTTAGATATCTGTTTTTGTCTTTTACTACCTCTGTTTTGTATGTTTTTATTCTCAATCCTAGATAGAGGAGGAGGGGGCAAGTTTAGTTTTTTTTTTTTTTTTGGTGGTGGTGGTGGATTAATATATATTAAAATTGCCTGGATAATGTTGCTTGCCTCATGTTAGAATTTAAGTAAAACATCAAGGCTTTGCTTTTTGTTGTTTGTTTTGCACATGGTTTCTCTATAATAGCTGTCCTGGAACTCAGGTATCTGCCTTCCCAGTGCTGGAATTAAAGGTGTGTGCTACAACACCTGGTTGGGGCTGTTCTTAACTTGTCAGTAACTGCAATATTTGGCAGTGGAAAAAATGTATGACTCTTTCTGTTATTTTTTGGATAAAAGTTGGTGATGTCAGGTTAAAGTACAATGTAAGCTGGGCAGTGGTGGTGCACTTCTTTAATCCAAGGACTCAGGAGGCAGAGGCAGGCGGATCTCTGATTTTGAGGCCAGCATGGTCTACAAGAGCTAGTTCCAGGACAGGCTCCAAAGCATGTAACTGGGTGGTGTTAGTGCAGGCCTTTGATCCCAGTTCTTCAGACACAGATGTGTCTCTGTGAGTTTGAGGCCAGCCTGGTCTACAAAGTGAGTTCCAGGATAGCCAGAGCTGTTAGACAAAGAAATCCTGTCTTGAAAAGCCAAAAAAAAGTACAGTCTAGAAATAATCTGTATTTGCAAACAGATTGTTATAGAACTAACTCATTTATGATACGTAACTTGTTTTGAAACTCTCAAATTATTGCCTAGAAATGGACTATTACAGGCTTCCTGGGCAAGTCATATATACTTGAAAATCATTCACTTGGTCTATATAAAGATGGTGTTTATTTATTTGTTGCCAAGAGAGCTCATTCAAAAAAAAGATCTGTTTTGCAAGGTATAAGAAATTTTGAGGCAAGTCCAATTTTATGTTTGTGGGAGGGGGTGAAGCTAAAGAGCAGTTCTCAACCTGTGGGTCCTGACCGCTGGGGTGGCAGAACAGCTCTTTCCCAGGGTCGCCTGTGACCACTGGAAAACACAGATACTTACGTACTTATGATTCGTGACAGTAGCAAAATTAGTTATGAAGCAGCAACAAAATTTATTGGGTTTTGTTTTGAGGCAGGGTTTCTCTGTGTAGCTTTGACTGTCCTGGAACTTACTTTGTAGACCAAGTTAGCCTTGAACTCATAGAGATCCACCTGCCTCTGCCTCCCAAGTGCTGGGTTTAAAGCATGAACTACCATGCAGTGAAATTTTATGGTTGGGGTCACAACATGATGAACTGTTTTAAGGGGTCACAGCATTAGAAAGGCTGGAAACCACTTCTGATAGTGATGATTTAAACCTATATGACATAGTTTTAAGACATTATGAGTTCTTTCTCACCTTTCCTTAATAAACATTATGTTTACTCTGCTCAAAAAAAGAAAAAAAATGAAAAAGAGAAACACCCAAACACTCAGCTCTAGAGAGGTAGGAGAAGAAGGTTGGTAGGGTGGCCTTCTCCTGTCCCAGAATACCTCGATTGAGAACCAGTCGGGAGATGACTGAAGCATGGACTGTGGATTCAGAGACCCAGGCACAGCAAAGTGACCCGGGACAGGGCTGTTTTCCCACTCTGTAAGATGGGAACAATGGCTAGCTTGTAGGATCGCTGCAGAGCACCAGCCCCGACAAAAAACTTACCTTACTAATCTTCCTACAGTCGAAACCTAAATCTAGGTTGTTACCTCTTTGGAATGGCAGGGTCCCCAAAATTACTGCTGCTCCTGTAAGCAGCCCCCAAACTCTGACTATTGATGGAGTCCACCTGCTCCTTGATAGGCTTGCAATTCCCCTGCCTTGCCTCCTGAGAGTAACAGTGGGAACCGCCACACTTGTGGTGGTCTTACCTACTCATTTTAAACCAGATGGTCATGGTTTTGCCTCCAAAATCACTTCAGGTTTATCTGCTTTAACTCGAGAGTGAAGTGGCAGGCCTCTAGAGAGCATCACTGCTGTGTCTTCTAAGTCTTTATTGTATTTTTCTGTGAAATGCTTTTAAATAGCTAATTTAGACTTGAGAAAAAGAATGGATTATTTTTACAGCTATCTCAGGTTACGTGATTAAATGGAAAGATACAAATCTTCCCCTTTCTGTGTGCTCACCTCATCTGTACACCATTTCCTGTCTCTGCTTCAACATGGCCCCTCCCCCACCCCACGGAGCGCTCGCTTATCTTCAGGTGAGTGCATGGCACAGGCCCTGTGCTGTGTCTTATTGAAGGGTAACTGTGCTGTTTCGAATGTTGTCAAAATATGCAGCCCCTATACCTAGTCATTAGAGGTGTGGCCAATGGGTCAATGAGCTGATTCTTGGGTGCGAAGGAAGCTGAAGCCCTGGTCTAGGTCCTGTCATTTGGACTGTGCAGGGCTACCTCAGTTAGTTCGGGTCTGCAGGTCCTAGCCACAGAAGCAAAGGTTAGTGTGTGTGTGTGGTGTGTGTGTGTGTGTGTGTGTGCGCGCGCGCGCGCGTGCGGAAGAGAGAGTGAGGGAGAGAGATTAAAGATAGCTTCTGGTTGTATTATCTGCTTTCTTCTTCTGAATTTTGATTACCTCTTCCTGCAGATCTTCAATGACTGGCATGATGAATTTGTTTAAAATGTATTGTTCGCATTTCTCTGAAAATTCCTTAATTTTGTGTTCATATACAAAATGGAAAAATACTGCATATGTGAAGAATGTGGTAAATAAATATATTTAGAAAACCCCTTTGGTGTGTAGTGTTTGCATGTGTAGAGAACCTGATTCCTTCTGCACTCTGGGCACCCTCACATGCATATAACCTAAAAGAAATAAAAGTAAGTCTATAAAACCAAACATAAGCTGGGCAGTGGTAACACACGCCTTTAATCCCAGCACTCGGGAGGCCGAGGCAGGTGGATCCCTGTGAATTCAAGCTCAGCCTGGCCTACAGAGCAAGTTCCAGGGCAGGCTCTAAAGCTGCACAGAGAAACCCTGTCTCGGAAAAACAACAAAAGAAGTAGGGTTTTAGGACATTCTTAGACACGGTAGCCATGATGCTTTAGAGCATCCTCAGCACCATAGGTAGAGAAGGGTAAACTAGCCGGCCTGGGCATCACTCAGAGACAAGCAGGAGAATGGCACTTGTAGAATATTATCTTAAGGTGTGTTACTTCTGTGCCTGCTTTGTAACATTTGTCTAATGGTGTAAAGATGTTTGATTAAATAACATTCACCTGTGGTCAAGTGGTAGGGAGGAGTTGGGTGGAGAGGGGTTTTGAAGGGGAGGGGTGGGGCAGCATGAAGTTTTCTGGAGGTGCTGGAAGGAGAGGTGAGCTGCTTGCTCTTCAGTCTCAAGAGCAGGACTCAACCTTTGAATCCTGAGTTCTTTAGAGGGACACAGATATAGATAAACTCCCTTTGTAGCTTTGAAAGAGTTGGTGCCTGAGGAAACAGAATTCCCTCAGGCTGCAGCAGCCCTCAGGATGAACTGCTGAGCAGACAGCTGTGGATTAAAAGACAGGTGGTTCAGTGTGAATTCAAGGACAGCCTGTTTTTACAGCGTGAGTTCAGGACAGGCTCCAAAGCTACACAGAGAAACCCTGTCTCAAGAAACAGAAAAAAGGAAAAGAAAGAAAGAAAGAAAGAAAGAAAAAACAAAAGGCAGCAACAGATTAAAAAGAGGACAACAAATGGCTGCAGGTTCAAGGCTAACATAGTCTGCTATAAATTCTAAATTAGCCAGGGTAATTTAGCGAGAACTTTGTCTCAAAAGAAGGCGAGGAGCCTGGCAGTGGTGGCGCATGCCTTTAATCCCAGCATTTGGGAAGTGAGGCAGGCGAATCTCTGAGTTTGAGGCCAGCCTGGTCTGCAAGAGCTAGCTGACAGCTAGAGCTGTTACAGAGAGACCCTGTTATCTGATGAGGAGTCAGATAACAAACATTATATCCTAGTTCTGTAGTCCAAATAGCTTCCATGCATTCATCATCTCATGTACGTAAGCGCCCTTCACCTAGTTCAGGCAGCTTTCTCTGCCAACGGTAGCCATAGGAGAAGACAAATAACAGGCTGTCTTACCTAGACTAAGGGAGGGAGGTATGTCGTAGGTTACTAATAAATAAACGGGGCCTGATTTGCATTTTCAGTGGCATTGAATCTTTAGTGTTCTCTTTACTGTGATCATTCCATTTGGGGAGGTGAAGTAGAGCTGGGGGTTGAGGCAGTTTCTGCAACCCAGATCTCAACCTCCCAAGTGCTAAGATAAACTGGACCTGCCAGCACTCGGCTCTTGCCAGTCTCCACAACAGTCTGTTCTTCACCGACTGCCCATCCTGTCCCTGCTGTCGCAGCACAAGTATGCTCATCTCTCCAAAGAACGCTGACTGTTGGAGCGCATCAGGATCAGCAGTTGACGTCAGGATATTCTTCCAGCGAAGCACCTATGGGAGCAACAGGCACACAGTCACTCTACTCACCCGCTACGGCCCAACTGTCCCCACCTATTTCTGCAGTGCCAGGGAACAGGATGGGAGAAGTCGCTTCAGAAATTAAGTGTGCCTGGCTATCCATTGCCACGCAGAGGCAATAAAGAAACACCATGGGGTGGGGGTGGGGTGGGGGAACCAAGTTGTGAGACGTTTCAATTTTAGAGCCCCAAGCTACCAATTCCCTTAGGAGGTGTTTAGTTAAGCTGTAATTAAATTTCCTAGATACTAAAAAGTATCCCTTCTGGAAAGTTCCAAATTAATCCAGGTGTGGTGGTGCATGCCTGTGAACCTAGTACTCCAGGTG